TTTGCCACCAATCCAAGGGAGTTCTGTTGATCAAGTTGATCAAAAGGAAGCAAACAGAGTTGCTCTGGATACCCGTAGAATAGTGCCTTATCGTGTTGGATCATGGATGCTTCAACTTTTTGTGTAAATTCTGCATGGCCAGCTGTGTCCTTGCTTTATCATGGTAACATAGTCCAAAATTCCTATTCTTCTGCACATGTAATTTTCTTCCATCACTAGACTGTCAACTAATTGCCCTCGGGGTTCAGGGTAGTTCCTGTACAGTCATTGGTCAAAAATAATTTTGGTCTTCTCATTGATTGTTCAGAAACTTGGGGTTTGGGCTGTTTGTTTTTTTATATACCAATGACAAAAAGTGCTTGAAAGGGTTAAAACATTTTTTAATTATGTAATGGTTTATTTCTATTTTCATTTTTGATGCTGTTTTACTTTCACTCTACTTTTCCATTTTTAATTTATTTATGGTGTTGCTTTTGACATGAGTCAAATTGTTTAAGGTTGAAAAGCTGTCCATGAATTGCCAATGCCAGCAAGTGGATGAATTGGTTGGTTTTCAATTCATTTAAGGGGGTAGCACCTGCAGGTATACCGGAGAATGGTATGAATGTAAAGCAATCTGAGGAAATTGAGGGTAGTTAGGGTTCACACCTAGGCAAGCCTGGTGATGAATATAGCGAAGTGGGAGAAAATTTGGGGCCTATCGGTGAAGGAAACAGTGGGAAGCATAGTTGGTCCTGAAAAGGAGGGTTTAATATGCTCTCTAGCACAAAAGTATATAAGAGAAGGGTTAAATACAGAACAACTTGTATAGACTCTAATGAAGGGTGTGATGGTGAGTGTGGAGAGGGGGCAGATGTAGCTCTTGAAGCAGTAATCAGTATTAATAAAACTTACGAGGTGGGCAGAAGTGTGGGGATCAACAAAGTGGTAGAAAAAGTAGCAATCAGGAAAGCTCTTGTAATTCTTTTCCTAGGAGGAGAGGAGTTTAATAGGCATTTGAAGAGCTGGAAAGAAGGGAAAGAGAGGAGAAAGATGAGTGTAGCAGACTACACGTTCTTGATCGGGTGGAATGGATACATTTTGTAAAAGGAAGCTGATGTTTCAATTACAATTACTTTGAAAGATTGTGGAGAGAACAGGGGGAAGAAAGTTGGATTTACATGGAAGTACAGAGGTCTCACGGTCATAGAGAGGAGGAAACAGGTAAGAAGTTGGATTTACATGATGGAAGTTGTATTGGAATATAAATTGATAGGGTGGGGATGGAGATGGGTTGAAGAAGGTTTGTCATATTGAAAGGATACCACTTTACTTCATAATGAGGAGGGCAAGGAGTCGGGGGAGAAAGAGAAGGAACCAACTATGACTAAATGCTTTAAGGGGCCAAAGAACCAAAGCATAGTCCAAGTTCCTAAGGTCTTTGCTTGGTTAAGAAGGGGCTTGTTTAGGGTAGGCCTCAATAAGAAGGTTCATAAGAAAGGGGTGATATAGAATATGATGTAGGATGGGTATGGGTCCTGCTGACTTAGGATCTGGTGGTTAGGGGTGTCAATTGGACTGGATTTGGTTCAATCCGGTCCAAACCAATGTGAATCCATTACAAATGGACCAGGTCTGATCCAATCCAATGAATATTTTGGACCATTTGGACCGGTCCAATTCAATGTTTGGACCGTCCAATATGTTCAAATTTGTTTTAGTTTAGATTAATTCTAACCCAAACTTGGTCTACGGACACCTATATTCTTATCTTTTATCAATGGACTGGATGTTGACTCAATCCAATATAAATTCATTATGGATGGATCAGGTCCAATCCAATCCAATAAATGCTTTGGACCATTAAGTCTGGACTGGTCCAATTCAATATATCTTGTTGGTCTGTTCAATCTGTCCAAATTGATTTTGGCTTGGACGGGGTCCAATCCAAATCCCATCCATTGACACCCCCACTGGTGGTGGGCTTTGTGGGGGTGAAAATGAGGGCTGCTGGTGACTAGAGATGAAGAATATGGTTGATAAAAAAGAGTAGAGATGAAGAATATGAATGGACAAGCAAGTAGGATGCAATAAATAAGGGATTTCAGGCAATTTTATTTCATTTCTCATTCAACTCCAATTACAGTGACTGTTTATAGACTCAACTTATTAACTCAGGTTTTGCACTATAGACTCAAGTACTATAAATAGTAAACCCGAAGGTTACCATAAATAGTAATTTCGAAAAAAAAGTAAATTAAGTAGACCCCACTTAGTCTTTGCCTGTTCTTTTCCTGTAAGTTTACTTCAAGGCGAGAATGAGGCCAAAAGTCTTTTTCAAACCATTTCTTCCTTCTCTTAAGATCTGTTAGATTCTTTTTGGGCTTCTAAAGAGGCTTCAACTGATCTAACCAAGTGTATGTTTTTGCGTCATCAAGTTCCAGAATGAGTTGCTGATCAAAGATTTTTGGAGCTCTTGAATTGAACTATTGTTGAATGTTGACAGAGAATGATTGTGGGGACCCCTTGTGTTTAGGATTTTCTGTCATTTATTTTCTTGTTAATTAATTGCTGTTATTGGGCCCAAGGCCCATTAGATTTAAGTTGCTGCTTTAAGTGTTTTTTTTAGTATGATGACAGTAGCGACTCTATTCAGGGCATATTTGATATTGTACAACTTATATTTCTTAAGTATAAAAGTTAATGGGAGTAGCGGTCAGGTTACTATTGGCTTCTCTTCCCTTTCTCACATTTCTTCTTCTTCCTCTTCCACTCTGAAAACTCTTCTTTTTTTCCATTCAGTTATTTTATGTTTTTGTTATTTACTACTCCTTGAATATGGGAAATCATTCAAAGGCTGATATGCCTGGTATCATTAAAGATAGTGACAAAAATTTGCTGTCTGGGGTTGCAAGTGAGGCGGTGGTGATTTATCGGAAGCAACTGAAAGTGGTAGAGGAGAGAATGTCTAAATCTGTACCCGTGACATTTGTAATGTGGTGTTGATTTTGTGAAGAGGTGCTTGAGAGGAGTTGGCAATCTAGTGAAATAGGGCTGTCAATGAACTCCAAAAGTCCAATATCCAATTCAACTCCAAATCCAATTATCCCAGATTTGGATGTTAGAGTTTTAATCTGATTAATAATTGGATCTGATATGGATTTAACCTCATTCAGTCTGATTAAAACATGGTTTGATAAGAGTTATAATTGTATACAATTATATAAAGTTTATATCTGATAAATTTAATATTTTCTATTTATATACATTTATTATGCATGTATAAATTAGAAATAATTAAATTTTTATGAACTTTTTTCATTTTTTGTCCTTTTAAATACAATTAGATGAATACGTACTAGATCCAAATCCAATCCAAGTTCGACATATTGGACTTCGGATCCAAAGACTTGCTACTAATCAGCTGTGGATGTGGATGTATGTAGCTGGATCCATTCCAATTACAGCCCTACCGATGAGGGATTTGTGGAATTCCTTGAGAGCATTAGTATTGATCTGATTTTTGGGTTGGTGTTAGCAAGGTTCAAAATATCGATATGCCCAATACACCGGTAGGGGCGTATCGATACCTTTTTTTTTAAAATTTTTTTAAAAACCGGTTTAGTGGGGCCGGTTTAGAGCTCCTCCACCCCCTGAACTGGTCAGACCCCCAATACACCCACTGTAGGGGCGTATTGGAGAGGTCTCGGACCGATACGTGTCAATACTTTGAACCTTGGGTGTTGGGGGGGGGGTAAGGCTAATACTCGGTTCTGTTGTTAGGTTGTGACAGAGGGAATAATTACCTTATGCTGATTTGGGTGTATTGCGGTTGGGTTATATTTGCAGTTTGTTCATGTTTTTCCCTCTCAACTGATTTCTTGTCGTGTTTCTTGTGCTTTCTTTTATTTTACTGAAATATTACTATTAAAAAGTTTCAAAATTAATTACAACTAACAATTAGTGTTAAAGAGGTTGAGTGCAAGGTTGGTCGTGTGGGTTGGTGTGGTACTCATTTTGTCATTTTGTGTGTGTGTTTAGAGGCCCTCTTGCAAGAAGCCACATCTATATTTTAGCCTTTTAGGAGGCATTGTTTGAGTTTGGGAAGGAACGACCATTTGTATGCTTGTATAGAGTTATCCACTTTACCCGGCAAATGTTTACTATCTGTGCTTTTGCAGTGTGCACCAAATGAGGTTGTTATTTTTCTCAGTTTTCAGCTTTTGTAACCTTTTCAGTTTGTCAATACGTCAGAAATAACAAATACTGGGAGATGTACACGCTTTCATTGAACTATATTACCTTTCCTGACTTCTTGCATAGTTTTATTCTCTATGCTATATTGATGATTGGAATCTGTGTGTGTTCCAATTTCATTAAAAGCAGGCCATCTATAAAAGAACTCATCCATGAAAATCAGAGAAGGTTTGATTTTCTGGGATCAGTATTCCCACTTCTAGCAATATGGACTTTCTTAAAGTCGTTCAACAATCATGATAACACTACAATGGTCAATTCCTTGATCTGACAGTGTAACTGTGGTCAGGGAATCTTTTACATCCCTGATGCTATAAGATGAACTTTAATTGATTAAAAAGGAAGATTTGAACAGATTAACTAGAAATCTTAGATGGTGAATGTAAGACCATTCATTTATGGTCAAAGTAGACCATTCTCAAAAAAAAAAAAAGAAAAAAATCTGTATCGTGTAGATCAAGTTGAAATTGCTGAAGTTATTACATGGAATCTGTGTCTTCTTGATGAATTTGTGGATTTGTAGGAAAGTAGATGGAATCTGTGTCTTCTTGATGAATTGGTTGAGGTAGCAATCTCCCAAAACTATGCCTAGGATCGCATTTAGTGTGTTATGGATTTTAGTTTTCTTTGTGGATTTGTAGGAAAGTAGATGGAATCTGTGTCTTGATGAATTGGTTGAGGTAGCAATCTAATAATATCCCAAAACTATGCCTAGGATCGCATTTAGTGTGTTATGGATTTTAGTTTTCTTTGTGGATTTGTAGGAAAGTAGTTTCACTTTGGACATGCACAAAACTTTGTGCCCTTGGCTTTGCTGTTGGTGTTGTTGTTGGCTTCACCTTAAAGCGACGTCTCCGGCGATGGGCTGCAAAAATTCTCAGACGTTTGAAGGATGACTGAGACCACCAAGCCTTTGACTTTCAACTGAGTCCTAGTAATCTGCATGGTTACTTTTCGAAGTAAAATCTCTTGATGCTGATCGTCATTGGAATCCCTGACTACCTGGTCAGACCCTTCCCATTTGGTCAGTGTTCTTGTGGGTGTTTATGGAAGAATGTACTGAACTGCCAGGTGGCTGTCATATTTCTTGATCTTTGATGCATCAACGCTTCTTCATTTTTTTTTCCTGCTTATGGAATCTTAAATTGGAAAGATTGGTTGAGCTTGAGGTATTTGTGCGGTTAACCTACTAAGATGATCAATGGCGGTTAGCTTAATATGTGGGTTAACTAAATCCCCGACCCTGACGCATGGTTTCTATCTTTGATCATCTCTGATGGCCTGATGACTACTGACTCCTGGGGGGGAGGGTTGTGGGTATCAAAGTCCAAAGTGATATTCACATACTAGCATTTTTCTAGTTTGATTCATGGATACAACTTCTGAGCTGGTAAGGCCTCTGAAATTTGGATCACCGGAATGATGTCAGTGTTTTCCGGGCTGTTGAGCTAGTGATCACGCGGATGCTGATTTTTTTTCATGGTTTTGACTGAATCAACTGTCTTGTTAAACTGCCAAATCTGTCACCTAGCCAACTTTCTGGGTTGATGGCTGCTTGTTCAAGTCTAAAACATTGATTGAATAATGATAAGGGAACAAATCACTTTTGCCCTGGTGCCGCCCTAAAAAGGACAGTATCGTGAGATCTTGATGCATTATTGGTAGAGCCCACCTTGAATTAGATGAAGGTGGCGTCTTGGTGGGTCACATCAATATGCCCAAGGCCATGATTCTCCTGTAAATTTTGACAAATACCACTTGATTAGTTATAACTTTTATGATACCTGTGTATGTTTGGCATCAATGCTGCAGATACAGTTCTGTTTTCTTTATTAGTTGGAATTTTTTTTTTTGTTTGAAAAGTTGCTGCCAGATAGGATGTTTCCTGGAGCAACAGCAACACTTTTTGTTTGGTTCCAGTGCTCTACAGCACTGATATCCATTATAAGAAATCCATTTCACTGCCACATCATGTCTTCATTAGTTTTAAATTGAAAAAATGTCAAATTTAGTGTTATTCTAAACCATACTTTATTTTCAAGGTGTGGCTTATAACACTGTTTTTTATGGAAAAACGGTTTTAATCATTTTACTATTCTTTAGAGCTCTGATTTTAATAACGCAGTACTAATGTGTCATTGTTTTCTGAAGCAAAGGTACCGGTTCCAAACATCGCCTTGGCTTTGTTACCAATTTTTCCAGTAGCGTAGTTAGAACAAAAGAAAGGCGTTTTTATGTAATGCTGATAATTGCCCTGGCTTATCTCCATATTCTCGTAATCTAGTCCACTTTATCCCCCCTTTTGCTACCAAGTCACATAGTTTCTTTTCTAAGCATTTTCCGTACGTAGCGAAGGTTTTCTAAACAGTAACAGTAATTCGTGAGGAAAGTTGGTGAAGGAGTTTATGCAATTCTTAGGTTTCTGACGCATATATACGTACCCGGTACCACACGAGTTCAAATCAGTCCCCCACAACGTACCACAGCATATTCCTACCATGTGTTAAGAACATCTCGATGATGACATCATCAATACACGGTGGGGAATGCTGTGGGACGTTGTGAGAAGCAATCTTGTGGAATGCTGATTTGATCTCTCTCCACCGAAGGTGTGACATGTGATCCATTGATCCATTTGGGTACTGACAATTGTTACATTCTTTTGATTAATGTCGTCAAATGTTTATACTTTATAGCGACAGAAAGAGCTTTCGACGTACGTGATAGAGCGCCGGCGGTCCCATTAAAGTGTTGAACTCCTTTATATCTATTTCTATTTGTCATAATCTGGATCGACATAGAAGGAGAAACCAAGCGTCTGTCTCTCTCTTTCTAATTGCCGATTCAACTGGTTGGCTCTTCTCCTGACGCGCATGCTAACCTGCCAACTGATTAGCATCAACAGCGGCGACTGTTATGCCAATTACTAATTAGAGTGATTAATAGTAATAGTGTTCACTGTTCAACTATTGACTATGTATGGAGGGCATACTAAAGTTGTTTCTTCTTCTCAATCTCCAACGTTTTCTTTTTTATTTTTTTCCCTTCCCTTCCCTTTCCCACAATTTTTTTTTTTTTTTTTTCTCACCAGACATGTGGAAAGCTTGTGTTGGGTAAACATGTGTTCAGGCTATTCCCGGTGATAGTATTATTAACATTGCAGGGTGAGGGAGAGAGAGATGGAATTCTTCGTAACTACCTACTATGATTCCTGGGTTGTGGTTTTAGACTTTGGATCTCGTGTAATTAAGTAATAAATGATAAATAACCCCGTATATGTACTTAATACATAACTTGTTGACAGCGAGAGGAGATTCTCAAAAGTATATTTAAATATTAAAGAATAAGATTGTATGTAAGCAAAAGCAATAAAATACCACAAAACAATGTGAAGCTAATAAGTAAATAACCCATGTTTAATTCAGTTATGGACAACCGGCATTCTATTGTCTCATGGTTGAGAATATTGGGTATTTACATGTTACATGTTAATGTATTGACTACGGATGTTGAGTTACGTGTATATATATATATATATATATATATATAATTACAAGAAAAGTAAATAAAAGTATATCAAGTATGGTAGGTGGATCTATCTGATCATATATATGTTGATGAGTTAGAAATACTCCTTGTGGAACTTGTTTGGGTTAACTCGCGTGATAGCTTCTTCAGTTCCTTTGCTAAGAAGGGCGTCCCACAGCAAAACACACCTACAATGTAAAAGAAATAATAAAAACTTGGTTTTCTTAAATTGAATTAACATTGTTCTCTCTCTTAACCTAAATAGAAAAATGTTAAATAATATATCTTTTTGTCTACCCTCAATATTAATCCAAAGGAGCATTTATCAGAACACAAAGTGTTGGGATCTCATCAAATTATTATTATTATTATTGGTGTGGTAGTTCTGGTTGTTTTCTAAATTCTAATTAAGAAGTAGTAGTAGCACGTACCGACTCGGGCATGGGGATGCTTTGAAGCTATCCTGGCGAACACTTGTTCCCAATTTGGCCTTGCAAAATGTGTTCTAACCTGAACAATGTTTTAACAAGCAGCAGCATGCATATGCGTTAATGAATGATATAGATAGAAAGGATTAATTCATTTATATATACCCGAGTGCCAGAGAGGATGTCAACGCCATATTTGGCATGGTTTAGAGCTTGCACCATTGTAAGCAGCGTCGACCTCGCGTCCCCTTCTTCATACACACTTGTTAGATAGTTGTGTATCTCGATCACTCCCTGTTTTTTATTATCATTTTATTTATATTACTCAAACATTACATATTTCTACTGGTGGCAGGGGACTGAGACTGACCTCGTTATCCATCTCTGCAATTTCGTTCATCACTCCTTTGAACCATTCAAAAGATCCGGTTTCTCTTTGTCACCCAGTAGAAATGAGCATTGGTAGTCCTCTGTGATTTCTTCTTGCCCATGTCGCTATCTGATGAAAGGAAATTTGGCCTGACCTCGCAGTTACCCGACACGTGGCAGAAACAAGCAACTCGGGACAGTAAAGCACCCGAAGCAAGCACCAAAAGCAAAGTCCAAGCTCGCTACTAAGCCCGAACTCCAGACCGCCCTACTAGGAGCCCGAGCTCCCTACTGGGAGTCCGAGCTCCCTGTTAAGAGCCCGAGCTCCCTACTAGGAGTCCGAGCTCCCTGAAGAGCCCGAGCTCCCTACCACGAGTCCGAGCTCCCTGTTAAGAGCCCGAGCTCCCTATTAGGAACTCGGAGCTCCCTACTGAGAACCCGAGCTCCCCAAGCCTCGCAAAGCTGTGACCCGAGCCGGCCCTTGGCAGCTCGGAACACTCCCCAAACCGAACTCAAAGACACCTCGCTCACTCCAACACTTCGCCTCCGAAACACCAGGCTGATCAAACGTACCTGACGCCAGGGACG